CCTTACCACCTTAAGCGATTAATCCGTTAACCCGACCTGCAAAAAGCAACACTTGTCCCTGCGCGCGCACGAAGCGCACGTATGAATCGTTGAAGCACGGAAAGCTTTCCAAGCAATAGAAATTACTGAAAAGTTTTTCCACATGGGCGCCCCACCTGGTGAAATTCCGCCAGAGCGCTGCGATCTTCCTTAGGATACTGTGCAGCATTGTAGCGACAGCAGCTCACAATTGTGAAGACAGGAGTCTTGATTGGATCGCTGTGGAGTTGTGGGGAGAAATCACAGGATTGCAATTTCAGCATCAACGTTCCAGGGCCTGCTTATTTGAGATCTCTTGGCATCATTCCAACAAGGATGGCTGTCAGCCAGATTGTTATACGCAGCTCTTACAGTCATGTGCCTAGTAGTCTCAATATCGGGCAGCAGAAGAAGTATGGGCGCCAGAAAAGTAGTCACGTGTCAGCTTGCGTCTGCAATCCTTCCTCTGACGAGACTTGGGCCCTTCAATCAAAAACTTCACGTGGTGGTGTTCGAAATAGGAGAGTTGGCAGGCCTTTCCCTTCTCTTATTGAGACAAGGCTTCTAGGACAAAGACCACGTTTATTTTCCACACCTTTTCTGAGCTTAGAACCTTCATACCGAGCGGGCAGTAGAATAGTCTGCGAAGCAGGAATAGAAGTCCCCAATGCTGAGTGGGAGGCCGCTTTCGAGAACGCTTGCGACGCATCAGACCTGCGAAAGGCCCTGCGGCTGCTGGAGGGGCTCAATCCGCCGCAGAGCCGCCCAACACCCCCCAAAACAAGGCCCCCCACGATTGACATCGACCTCAGGTCCTCTTCTCAAAGCGATATAATAGCGCCCGCTTATTATGATGAGCAGGAGGCGCAACTAGAAGGGGCAGGGCCAGTCCTAGTTCAGGAGCCTGACTTTGAAAATGATGATTTCTTTGATTTGCCGAGGGAGTCGGAAGCGGAGTCAAACAAGGAGAAAGTGACAGTACCCCCCAGGGTACTGTTACGGGTGCTCGACGCCTGTTTGGGGACGACGGACCTGATTTCAGTAGCGACGGCATATCGGTGGCTGCAACAGAGGGGCCTGCTGAGGGCGTTTGGCAGGGTTCGATTGGGAGGTGAGAAAACAGAGGCGATGACAGCAGTGGTCTGCTGCGCATTTGACCAGACCATATCTGTAACTAACCGCAAAGATATCAATCAATCATGTCAACAAGAAAAGAAGCCACATGAGGAATTTGGTATACCAGCTCCTAGTTTGAATACTGAACAATGTTCACCAACGAGCGTTTTCGAAAGATTGCGTATTTGTGCTTTCTGTCCTTCAGTCAGAGATAGGAAGCCGATATTTCAGAGGGTCTGCAATCATCCTTTGTGCGTCAGGTAGTATGAAGAACTATTTTTTCCTGACACGTGGCTTTCGCCTTAGGGGTGTGTCTTGACCTGAGTCTCGTGCATAAGCGGCCTCAATCTTTGGCGCAAAGACAGGTTTCCTTAACCAAGCCTCCTAAGTTTGCAAATCGAACCAGACACTGCATCAGAGGCAGTCTTTTTGGGTTCTCCCTGGTGTCGAATGTAGAACTTAATCCGAAACAGTCACTATATATAAAATGCCCCTAAAAATGTAAAATCTTGCATTGACCGTGCCCTTCCCCACTGACAGGTTGACTCGTTGTGCAGATGCTGACACTTCTCGTCTAGTGACACCAGAGGGATTCAAAAGGGAGTCTGGCTTAGAAGGTGAGGACTCAGCCCTAAGCGTGGAAGTCTTTCATCCGGTGGTTCAAAGATTCAAACCGTCAAGTCATCACCCTGTGGCCTTTCAGATCAAGAGCAACCAGGATCCGACAGATTCTGTTGATGACGTTTTCATTGTGCGACCCTCTACTCGATGTCGTTGATAGACATTGTCATACAAGCCCCCCTCGCGAGTTTGTTTTGCGAGTCAGAGACGCTTCTGCAACTGTTTCCTTCAGAAGATCAGAGATCTGTCTCTTTATACCTCGCAACGGCAGTTGACATCCTGCTGTCAGAACTGATCCATGTTGACTTTCTCGGCTGACATATCAGAACTACTTCTAACAAGCCAGGCGTCATGTCATGATCCGACAACCTTCAACGCCACAGGTTATCACTACCAGGATTCCAGGTGAATTCGTCCTTTCGAAGACTTCATGCTCTTGGTACTGCACGGTTAAACCAAACCCGAAGTGAATAATGACGATTAACCTTTCTGTCTGCAGCGTCGAAGCTCTCCCCCAAGAAGTCCCTCCTACAAGGCCCCTCTGCCGCGGCTTTCGTCGCCCTGATTGCCGGCCTCTCCTACGCTAATCAGAACGAGCTAACCCTAGTTAGGCCGATTCTAACCTCTATTCTGAGCCTGGGTTTGCTCGATGCGTTTCTGTATGGGGGTGCGGGCTTCGGCCAGCTTATGATGACGCTGTGGCCGGGGCATAGGCGCCGGGTGCTTATACACGAGGCAGGCCACGTGGTGGCCGCTTATTTGCTGGGGTGTCCGGTGCGGGGGGTGGTTCTGGACGCCATGCAGGCGGTCCGAATGGGGATACGAGGTCAGGTGAGGCGTGAACACGCGCTGATGAAAGATTTCGAAAATTTCCTTTTTGGGTAGTTTGTCAAAATAATCGTCATTGCCAATGATGGCGTTTTTGGCGGGGTTGCAACTAGAGCCGCCCCGCAAGCACTGAATTATGAATAATCGATGTGCTAATGGTTCCGGCGAGGCCAGTCTAGTTGCCCGGCTGCTTCTCGTACGTGGCATTCATACTGCACCTGTGCCCCAGCGTAACCGCGAGTATAACCGTGCCCCTCTCTTCGAAATCAACTTGCTCGAAGGCCTCGACGAGCTTCTGGTCGGGAAGGCTGCACTTGGAAGAACAAAAGCTTCCCTACTCGTACAAGGGGCCTCTGACGGGAGCTTGTCAGACTTAACGACGAGCTAGCTCACTTCGACTCTGAACTTTTCTTCCGGTTGCTGCAGGCGGGCACTCAGTTTTGGGACCAGAAGCTAGAGGAAGAGATGAAGGAGAACCGCCTGTCCGGATCCACCCTCGACAGGTGCGCACCTTGAACCTCCATACGGACCCGGCCCGTCCAAGTCTGGAAGTATTATTCTCCCTAGAATGTATGATGTTTTATCATCCCATTTTCGGCAGTTTTTGTCCGAAGCCTGTCCGCATTTCCGTCCGCGCTTTCTCATCGCCCGCCCTGGTCCGCTCGTGTCCGCATGACAATATTTTCAACGGCTAACGCTTTCCCGCCGTCTCTTCTGCACTCCCTGGCTTGGTTTCGGTGCACTTGGGTCACTCTCAACGTTATGCGAGCACGTTCTGCGTCAGATTCGATCGTCAAAACTGCGAGCCTTATGCTGAAGACCTGGCAAGAGGATGGCTATCACCGAATCTACGAAAGTCTTTGTTCTCCTTTCTAACTCAAAAGTAAAGTGTCCACGTCATCGTTCTACAGTATCGGCTTCGAGGGTGTTGATTTAAAATCCGTTCGTGGCACACTTTCACGAGCAGATTCTGAATCAAGCCCTCGCTTAAATTGCAAGTACAGGAACACATCTGGTTGGAAACCCGTTAAGCTCGCCCTCTTCCTGCAGATACTTCGTGGTCCTGTTTGCGGGCATAGCCGCTGAGGCGCTTATATACGGGGAAGCGGAGGGTGGGGAAAGCGACGAGAACCTGTACGTTCATGTCGTGAAAGGGCTGCGGCCGCCCTGGAGCCCGGCAAAGGTGAGCGTGAAACCGTTGTTTGAGGCCGTTTTTTCGTACCGCTTTTAGGCTGAAGTTAGATGGTGGCGAACTTGTTTGAGGTCGTCTCCTCGTACCGCTTTGAGGATGAAGTTTGAGGGTGGCGAAAGTGTCGCTGTCAGAAGTTTCTTCGTGCTCGTGATTCCATCTTGCTCGCAAACGAGAGTGTGGCACACATGCTTCTGAAGAGAATCCACTCAGTATTCCCTGTCCACGAGCACCGTTCGCAGCCGGGTAATGGTTCGACCTCGAACATCCGGACCTAGTTCGCCATAGTCAACCGCTTTCACCCTCACCGTTATTTTTGCGCTTGCCTTTCTTTCAGATTTCGAACCAGGCTCGATGGTCCGTGCTCCAGGCCTATAAACTGCTCTCATCTCACGAGCGTGTTCTCACTGCGGTTGTGCGGCGACTGGAAAGCGGCGCGAGCATGGCCGATCTGGCACGTGTCATCGAAGAGAGTGCGGAACGGAGGCAGGGGCCCGTCAGGAGAGTGGATCTGTGATGACGGAAAAAGTCGGAAACGTGACGGGAATGAGAACGTAGTGAGTTGAAGGGGTATCTAACGACTGGTGTTCGACCAGAAAACCGAAGAAGAGGGCTTTTCAAAGATTAGTACTCGTGCTTATTAGTACGCCTCACCATAAAAGGAAAAGCGTTGACCATCCGGAAAGTATTGTGTGGATCATTTACAACAACTGACTTTTGAATTGGACAGCGCCACCCTGGCATATAGCAAAAACAAGTAGTTTGTTCTGCGAGATGGGAATTTATGTGACTCCCTAACACAGCGCCGAAAGCAGCTGACAAACGTCTCACAGGAAGTGATCGGCCTGTTGTCACACAGAGTGAAGGCATACGGCAAAGCGAGCGAGGGAACTCCAAAGCCGTCAAGTCGGAATCCTGTCCTCATTCAATAGTTACCATATTCTTGTGCCAGAGTACTTGACGGCCCCCGGCTGAAGAATGATTACTGTACAAGGGGGAATCTACTGTCTGCAGCTACAAACATAACTTGCGCCGGTCAAAGATCCGCCAGACCCTGGTTGAAAAGACATGCAAGCGTGTCGTGCTTTGATTGGTTTGATTATTGCCGCCTGCGCCTGCATGTGTAGTCAGGGTATAGATTGTGCACGGGGCGCACGCGTGACTCTTACCCTTTTGCAGGCTAGACGGGCCTCGCCCGGCGATCGTTCCTTACGTGCGGCTGCGGCCGCCACATGCAGATCGAACCGCAAAGCGCGGCGTTGTTTGATGCTATATGGACAGCTGCTCTAGCGGCCCCCCTAGAGCTGAATATGTTCAATCCGATCGCGATCGAGGCTTGTGCAATGCAAGCCTGACGGTACGTCCATGCCCGATACGGGTCAAAGACGTACGTGAGGTTGGTGATGTTGCTTGCAAATTGCGCGGATCAATTTGCATATACGGGGCCGGGGCACACCACTTGATATTGATGTGCAAAAGTCCTACTGGAATACAGATTGACGTTCACATGTGCAGGCCTCCTGGAAAGCTCATGCGCGGGACAATATGGTATATTTGGATCAAATCTGTGCGCGAGAAATGTACTTACTTGAGAATGGCTTACTTGATAAAAGTACATGCTCATATATGGGCGGCCCCATGTCGAGCTCTTGCAGACATGTTGCACCTTTGGTCTAGGACCTAGCTTTGAATCTGGTGGTTTGAAGGAGTAACGAAAAGCAACTGCTAGTGAGCCTGATGAACGGATGCAAGTCAGAAGCGGGTATGACGGTAACAGGGCTAACACCTATCGACAACGGCTCGACTGGGCTTGTCGAAGCCGTTATCAAGCTTATTATTGTCGATGGTCCGGCCTCAATTACGGCCTGATGCAGAATGGTTGCAACTTAGCAAACGAATGCGATTCCGATATGCAGGATACGACAAAGTGCTACTAGGCTGTTTAGAATCGACTTCTGCGGCTGAGCGGCCGCGGCGCAGGCACGTCTAGCCCTTCCTCAACAGCTTCCAACGCCGTGCTCGCTTCCCGGCTCAGAGATGCTGACGCGCTCGCAACGTACATGTCCTCCACCCGGGCTTTCCTGGCTTCGTCCAGGAGGTACTCCAGAGTCTGCACCACCTCGCCAATGACTGGCCGGTACTCCGACTCCGGTTGCACGCACATGGCGGCGACGGCCGCGACCTGGCAGACGACGCGGTCGGTGTACTGCCCCGAGAGGGACGGGTCGACCATGGCGTGGATCTTGCGGCGGTCGCTCAGCTGAGGAGATGCCTGGAGGATACGAGGGACCATCTGTCTAGGATCTGCGCTTCTTTCGATGCGATTAAAGGAAGCTTGGATCTGCGCTTCTTTCGATGCGATTAAAGGAAGCTTGGAATGTCGAATATGACGTTTCCCAAGACTTGCATGAAAGTATTGTGAACAGTCATGCCTGCTTCTTCTAGGTGTTGAATAAGGATTGACAGAATCAACTGCTCACGAGTCCCTTTCCATGGCGCTGTCATTGGGTATTCTCTAGTCAAAAGTCGTTCTCGGTGGAAAGTTGAGGCTCAAGAGTCGGTTCAATTAAAAAAGGATGCAGTAAGCTACTTACCCACGTCACCAGACTCTGCTTCCCTGACGGCAGCGTCATGTCCACCGGCTTCCGTCCCGTCAGCAGTTCCAGCAGCACCACCCCGAAACTGTACACGTCGCTCTTCTCCGTCAGCTGACCGGTCATGACGTACTGCAGGCGCGGGAAAGCGGGTAAGGAAGAATCTGAACCACTCTAGTTGACGGCCTTGAGCTTTTTCCATAAAGGCAGATCACGAGCGAGCTTGAGAGATGGGCAAAGCGCGACCACCCGTCACCATATTCTTTTTGAAGGGAAGCTGAGCCTCTTGCCTCTCAGGAGGTTTGTTCGGTCTGCTTTCTTCAGAATTGAGTTGTCGGAAGACGTATTGATACAATGGTTGCAGCCGCCCCATCACTCTCAGAACGTGTGCCGACGGCCGCATGCACGTGACGAAGCTAGCAAAACCCTCGCACCAAGCGCAGTCTCCCTGAGACAGCCAATATTACCTCGGGTGCTACGTAGCCGAAGGTGATCTGTGCGCTCGTCTGACGTTCTTGCCCGTGCGGTGCAATCTGCGACTGACCAAAGTCCGACACCTGCACGAGAACGGAGTCCCAGCTCCGATGCACAATTATGGTTACTCCCTCGGAAAAGAAACCGCTTAGAGTCGGCGCCGGAGTCTTAATGCTTCCGTAGATTATAGTGGCATTATGAGTATTGAAAGCAATTGAGTATCAAGGACTCTGTTCCAACGAGCCTGAAGCCAACCATTGGCCCATTTCAAGAAAAATCAGATGAAAGACTGGAATTACCCGACAATGCAGTGCTGGTGAATACCGAACGGGCCGTTCACTGCACCTCCGGATGATCAACTCAAAGAAGTAGCAGACGCGAGCATCGAACTACGCAGTTTAACGGCACACAACAAGCGGCGGTAAAGGAGATCCTGGATATAGTCGGGTAGCGAGGCGTTTGCGGATGTGAACCCCATTGACAGCCCCACCTTTGCCGTGAAGTCTGACGCAAGAAGGATGTTGCCGCTCTTGATGTCGCGATGTATAACGGGCGGCGAACACGTGTCGTGCATGTACTGGAGGCCTCTCGCTGTGTCTAGGGCGATCTGTAGCCGGGTGACCCATGTCAACTTCCTCTTCAGCCTGGGCGCCCCTGCAGTCAAACAAGGTTGCTTGTCTTTTCTGACAGCTGAGAGAAGTCGAAAGGAGCCTGCAAACCGCATCTCTGCGTGATGAGGTTTTGAGATGATCTATGTGACGAAGCAAAGCTTCTCCAAGAGATGGCACGGTACTTTTCAACCGTGCCGCCGGGCTTCGTCCAGCCGAAGCCCGACTTATCGACCTACCAATGCCGAACTTATTTGAGGAATGAATTACAGAATTTATTTAGAATATGATGAAGAGGGAAAGAGGGCAACATAGGTATTCATTCAGAGTACGACGTCTTTCGGATGGTCTCCAAAGACTGTTTTTGAAGCAAATGCAAGCTTGAATGACGAACAGCCATATAATTCAGGTCCGTTGCTGGGAATTATAACCGTAAGGCTTCCAGCCTGTCCATATCGTCCCAGAAAGCCGCGCTTACCGTGCAGGCGGTGCTCCAGGCTGCCGTTCGTCATCAGCTCGTAGCACAGGCACTTATGGTTCCGCTCGTAGCAGAAGCCCAGGAACGTGACGAGGTTGGGGTGCTCCATGCGGCTCAGCACCGCTATCACCTCCTGCAGAGGGACGGGCGGAACGTGGTCCTGTTAGAATTAAACTTTGGTTCGCGCACCTAACACTCAACGTGCACTCTGTTACTTTTCATCTACTTTTCAAGCAGGGAATCAGTGAAATTTGCCATCCAAAATCTTCCATTTGATTTTCAGAGTATTCGAGCCAAGGAAAGATTCGAGTAACGACTTGATTCAAGAGATCTGCAGTACGCTCGTATGCTGCTGTAAGCAGCCCTCGCCGACCGCAAGCAGCTCTTTTTCAAAAATCTGTTTGCAAACACTCCTGGTCGAGACTGGATTCCGTAATTAGATATGCCCGTTTCGGTCCTTTTGTAAAGACCGATTCGGTCCTTTTGTAAAGGCCGATCCGGTCCTTCAGTGAGCCACTTTGATTCAGATTCAGAACCACTATGCTTCTTTCCTTGAAGTCTTCTGCTCCGAGCTGGTTCTCGTTGACCAGCCTCTTGACCGCGATGGAAGCTCCGTCTTCAAAGGTTGCCTTGTACACCCTCCCAAAGCCTCCCTCTCCGAGCAGATTACCCCTACTGAAGTTGTTCGTGGCGATCTGTCAGGAGATGAGAAAGATCCTTTGAACATGTCGGGGGACCCAAAAGAGATGTAATCGAATCTCGTGAAATGAACTCTAAAAGCTAAACCACGCCTTCGAAAATGAAGGACTGACAGCAGTGCGTGTAAAATTAGCGCCTGTCCATACAAAGGCCACAGACGCATACAATCGTGTCCTCAGAATACCTCGAATGAAAAGCACTCGTAAAGTAAATCAGAGGCGAACGATACCTGCAGCTCGTTGTAAGTGAACACGTCGACGTCTTCAGCTAAACCAGGGACCGTAAGGTCGATTTTCTCGGCGGGCGCGGCGGCAGCTTCGGCTGTTGACGGCTCGGTACTGCCCTGAGGCGGCTCATCTGCAAGAAGTAATACGAACAGCTTGTCCTTCTGTGATCAGTGGCAATGAACAGTAGAACATGGGAAACCTCTGCTGGCTAAGTTTTGACTCAGGACAAACACTTTGGCATCAAGAGGTCTGAACCGTTGGCATTCATAAGAGTTGGAAATCGGAGATCAGCAGCACAACCGCAAAGCGCATGCATCTCTACAACGTTTGAAGCGCAAGTTGCACCTGTGTGATCTCCAGGAGTCTCGGGAGGAGCGGACGTCGTAGCCGGTCCTTTCTTGATGGTGAACTTTTCTCGCATCGCAGCACGGCGATAGAGCGCAGCAGAAGCTCGTCTCCTCCTCCGTACGCGTAGGTACCAGTAACAGAAGATGGCAGCCGGCACCACGATAAGGAGCGCGACAATGGAAGAAACAGTCGCCACGGCCGCTTTGTTGAAGCTGAAATTCTTTTGAGATGTAGGTTCTTGGTTGGAGAGAGGAGGAGGTGTCCTTTGCTCTTGCTGAGAAGCTGTTGGTGTAGAAGTGATGGCGGAACTTGGGGCGATGAATGAAGCTTGGGCGATGCCTGTGTCGGACATGGGAAATACGAGCCCTGGGTGATCCTTCCAACATCGGTGAAAGCATTACTTGATGAATAGAGCAAAGTTTAGGACAAGCTTCTATAGAAAAGTTGTGCTCGATCAGCAAGATTGCTGCGTATGAACGGTCAGAAACGATGTTCTTCGCAGTAGAAATTGGACGAAGGTTTTTGTTAACCTCGTTTCTTTCCGACTGGTAGAAAAGATGTTTGATGGAGAGGGCAGGTATCAACTGCACGAATGCAAAGAGGGACAATCAACGTGAAGGAATAAGTTCTCACCGAGGGATAGGTTGCTTGCTGCCGGAGTCGGAGGTTGCAAAGACGTCGCTGTGCTTTGTGGAACGAGTGCGGAAGGCGCGACGCTGGGGGCTGTGCGGCCAGCGGCCGTGAACGATTGGTACTGGTACGATGCCAAGTCCGACGGAAAGGTGAATTGAGACCCGCTCAGCTTGTTCTGGATGTCGTTCTCAACTTTTGCGTCCAGCTTGGTGTTGCCCGCCAAAGGGACGATCTGGATGGTGACGATGAGCGGCGAGAAACTGATACCGATGATGCGCACCTGAAGAAGAGTTTTACCAACGTGTTCGAAGACAAAAGGTTAGGAGATCTTTTTTAATGACCGATCACCGGACAATTGCAACGAGATCAAAAACCCAAATTTGATAGGAGAGCTGATATAACTGCCGATCAAAATTATCGGATCGTTCTGAAGATCTTTCAAGCGACAGATCGTAAGAGACCTCTGGCTGTGCGTTTGCGCGAGACCAAATGGAGACGCTTGAAGAATTGGAACTCATGCGTCTTATGCTTACGTGAGGTTGCGGATGGAGAAACTTCAGATCCTGCTCTAAAGAAGAGACAACTCTGATCTTACCTGGCTCGTCTTCAAACCACTTTGGTCTGCAAGACTGCTCTTCAAGCTGCTCTGCTGGGTCTCCTGAAAGGAACTATTATCCGGAATGTCGGGGAACTTGATCTCTAGAACGGTAGGAAAGACGCAAGGGCAAGAACCGTCCAAGCTGAGGACGCGATCCGGCGGACAGGGCGTACATACTGCAAACAAGATCACCTGATAAGCTTACGCGCACAATTTCTAGAAGGTCCAATCCGCAGATCACACGCTGTTGACTTGATCGAGCAGCTACTGATGCTTCCTACAATTTATATGCTGCCTACGTGTACAAGAATAGAAGACCTGCGGCTTTTGAAGATGATTCAAAGTAGGTCCACGGTGATAGCTTTTCAAAAAGAGATCGATGTAAGGACACAGATTGGAAGATTATTGTGACCGAGTCTAGCCTGGATGCAAAAATAATGAGAATTACTCAACTAATTTCGAACCAGCCTTCTAACACCAGGAGATCAGAGGGATAAGCATACTGTCTTTCTGCTCAGGAATCTGACAATTTACTGCGGTCTTCCACGTACTAGCCGAGCTGAATGAAATCCCAGTCGATATGATTTCAGAAATTGCTCTGACTCGTGCCATTTTAAAGAACGTCAATGTCCCGATGATGTTGAAAGCTGACAATCTTTCTGGATTTTTCCCTCACACTCTTTGTGCATCAATTCGAAACATGCATTCCCAGCTTGACCAAGAATGCAACTTACCTGCTAAAAGGCTTCTGCGAAGCGTGCCTTGCCCTTTACCACTGGCTGCATGTTCCTTCAGGCCGCGACAACATTCGAAGAGGAAGAAGAACAAAGTGATAGATGCAGCTCCTACGAGGTAGAAGCCCCGCCTTCCCATATTCGCCTGAATCAGTGCTTAGAACCTCCTAGATCAATAATCAGCAGTTTGTTCTCTAAGCTATTTGCGTAAAAGAAGCTAAGCCTTCCGGCGTCTCAGCCCTTCCATTGTCGAGCCGCATCTGAAACTTGTCCTTTCGTCAAATTGCTACCCACGCCCCTCTTTCGTAGGACAGATGAAACTTCTTCAAGGGATCTCATGGCTCTCAGCGCTCTCCTTGGCTTGCTGTCCCCCCAACATTGACGGCAGAGCTCCAGCGGACAAATCTTCGGAATGTTAGAATGTAGACATGATTCACGATATGTCCCACTTTCCCTCGCGAGGAATGGTTCTGCGATCAAAGATCTCGTCTACCAGGTTAGTGAGCTTCTAGCGTTCTCTTCGCTTGTTCTGGCAGCACTTCTGCTTCTTATGTCCTGCTTCTACCCTGGCCTTCTCACCAAATTATCCACCCTGACGAATCGACTGGCTGCGAACGCCCAGGAGTCCACGAAAGTAGGAAATGTTACAAACTACAGTAGAAGAAGGGCTCAATGGATTAGCGCTTCAGATCCTATATGCTTATCTGCAGTGTCGCTTGCTGCTGCAGGCCCTCTGAAAGATGTGAAGCTTAGGACTCAGGACTGCCAGTCTTACTGAGTAGGTCCTGGAGCTTGGTCGCGGAGGCCAGCACAAGCTCATGATTGCAGAAAGGTACATTGGTCGCCCTGGCCTCGGGACGAGCCGACACAGTTTAGGAATAGTAAGCTTTAGGAA